TTGTGGTAGGTTGAATGATGGATCAGTCTGTTGATTTATTTGGCCTATTATTGCATTTTTTAATTAATGGACATAYTAAGCCAAAAATAGGTGAACAAATCTATATGCAGCACATTGTTGTTACCATACAAGTGTCAATCAAACATTGGATGGTGCCTTACATGGCAAGGATGCCGTTTTTGGACACACCACCAGCAGATTCCAAAGATAATTAACCTGGATAATATGCAAACTTTTGACTGAACAATCTTTTATGCATTGGGGGAAAAGAAACAATGCTTTGAGTTTTAAAATATGACAKTGTGCTTTAAACCAGTTCTATTCTAATAATAGGAACATCATGTTCTATTTCTACAATTATTAATCCCCAATGGGAAAACTAGTTCTCTGTATTTTTCTCAACCCACATGTGGAGTGGAAGGCTGCCTGTCATCTAAAGGCCTCTACATACTCTCTTTGAAGCCGAAAAGTCAACATCATATAGTTGTTCGGAGTTTGTTTTCACACACCTTTCATTGTTCATGAGACACATCGCGCTGAGCTCTTGGGAAACCCATCTCGCTGCGTTACATGTCACTACACGGGTTACCTTCCTGTTGGAGTCTACACTCCAGGGGTGGGGGGACCTCCAATCTGCTGTTATGTAGCCACAAATCTGTACTGGTTAAAGCTCCACACTTAAAGCAGATGGATTCCCCCGTACAAAACAATTGTTTTTAATCTCCATTCATGAGTTTTTGGCTGTTTGACAATCTTTATATATGTCTGGTTCAACAGTCAGCTTCGCAAATTGAGTAGCTGAAACAAAATTGAAACATTTTCAGCATAAAACACACCCACAAACTTCTGACCAATCACTAAGCACTTTGCCCAGAGTGCTGTGAGAAACAGTTCGGCCAAGGCCTTGTGTGGAGAAGGGGAGGTCCCATCTGCTCTCAGAACCAAATGATGCCATTTTCGTCTTTCAACTGCAACAATGAGAGCAGATTTTGGCTATTTTACTGTTTTCCAAGGTGGAGTTGCTGTGGCAGCCATCTTAAATGAAGTTGACTCCAAACTTTTTATGGACATCCAATGGTTACATTCTTAGACAATTCATAAAATCTCTTCAATGGCTGATGAAAACATTTACTAACATGGGGACAGATGAATACACAGGCAATTTCAGCACTGTTTGTTTTTCATAATAGTGTATGAAAATCATTGTTTTTATTGGGGAGCACAAGCTGCTAGTTTCCATTTACTTAAATATACTACATATTTTATATACAGTATTCTATACTGAACAAACATAGAAGTGTATTTACAGCGGGTAAAATAACTATTGAACAYGTCACCATTTTTCTCAGTAAATATATTACTAGAGGTGCTAATGACATGAAATTTTCACCAGATGTCGGTAACAACCCAAGTGATCCATAC